AAAAAAAAAAAAAAAAAGAAGCTCTTTTTCTTTCAATAGGATACTAAATTTGTTTATTTACTTATTTTGTATCACTGGAGATTGAACCCAGGACTTTATGCATGCTGGGCAAGGGCTTTACCACTGAGCTGAATCCTTAGTTTCTGTCTTTATTAATATGAACGATACCTATAAACTTGGTTTTGTCATATTATTTCATGTACTGTGTTATATGTACACATATTTATTTGTTATTTAGTATATGTAGAGAGAATATTTAGGAAGTTTTAAAATTTGGTTCTAGTAGTTATAAATTTAAATTAACATATCATTCCCAAATATCTTTACATGGTTTAAATGTGTTCCTTGTGAGCAACAATAAACACAATTCTCTCCTCCATTTCCTATCTCCTTTATCTTCTCTACCAGTAAATTTATGTTATTTGTATCACCTTGGCATTTATTTTGTATTTGGTAATGATATTAACTATGCATATATGTCTACAGATTGATTTTACTCCCAGATCTTGTAGATGAGGCAGTAAGGGAGAGTGTTTTAACTTCCATCTCTTCTCTAGTCCCTGTTTTTGTTAGCTGTGACATTCCAGCACTGCCTCAGTGTGTAACATTTACATTTCACTCAATCACTCCTAATCCCATCTTGGATTTTGTCTTTGATCTCTATATTTAATGTTCAGTAGGTTTTTGTTTTCCCTGCAGTTGCTATGGTGGTCTTTAGTTGTCTACACTTTGTATTGTCGTAGTTTCCCAACAAAACAAAACACATCAAAGTCCCTCCATCAAACAAATTAAGTGAAAATTATCCTGTAAACTCTTGCAAATTCAAATACATGAGGAAATAAAAGATAACAAGATATTTAAGAGATAATAAGAAACTGAAGAGATCATGAGGTTGGATATAAAGCGCTTGTATTTTGCAGCTATCCTTGTGGTACTGAAGTAGAATTTTTTGGGGGGTGGGAACCAGGGATAGAACTTGTGACCTTACACTTGTGAGTCAGGCAGCAGAACCACTGAGCTAAACCCCAGCCCCTACTTATATATTTCTAAATAGCTACTGTATTCTACAGTAAAGCATGTAAGGATTCTCCTTTGCTTACCATCTAGATCTTTTATTTTTCCATAATCTTTTCCTGCTGTTGCTTTATTTTCACTTGTTTTCATTTTTGTCCCATGTTTCCTACTGTGGATGGCTTCCAAAGGAGAAACTGAGAAGATTCAAAACTAAGGTGCTGTTGGAACAAAGTTGCTCTTAACAAAGTAATCCAAACAATCCTTTTCACTGGGTTAGAAAAGCTACTGTTTTAAAGAAATGCAAAAATAAATAAAGGCTTAATGCTAGCAAATCTTATTTCACTGAAGTAAACATCTTTAGATTATTATTCAATAAATTCCAGGGACTTTTGGACTGTTAAAGATGTGTCCTGCCACACTGTGGGTTTATTCCTGGATGATGCTACAGTGTGAAGTCATAGTAGTGATGCCTTTTTTCTGTAATGAGACACAGAAGGGAGTCAAACAGAGGACAGGCTAGGGCTGGTCAAGGCACGAATGAGCAAGCACACACCATTTGTTGCAGTAATGACATTTTACTAAACGTGGGAAGTGATATCCAAGAAAACATGACTTATTCCTTCTAATATCGAGTAATAATTGTACTTGTTCAAGTCTCTTTACCCAGTTCAGTTCAGGGTAGGAGGAATTCCATTAAACGCTTTGATGTTTGTCTTATTCAGGTATATCTTAGTTGGCCCAAGCACTAGTGCTTGTGAGATCCAAGACAAGGGAGTGGACTGGAACGCTCCTTTTCCAGTGTGTGAAAGTAAGTCCAGTTTTGTTTTGTTTTGTTCTTTCCTCACTACTGCGGGCACCCTTCGTATGACATCACAGGGCTCTGAGGTTTGCAGTGACGCCCTCTTTTAATATTTCTTTCTCCTCACTCCTCACAGTTGCTAAGTGTAAGTCCCCTCCAGACATCAGCCACGGGAAACACAGCGGTGACAATGAAGACCTCTACACATATGGCTCCTCGGTCACCTACAGCTGTGACCCCAGCTACTCGCTCATAGGCAACACCTCCATTTCCTGTGTGGTGGTGAATGGGACGGTAGGAATCTGGAGCCCAAGCCCTCCCACCTGTAAAAGTAAGTCACAGCGGTGAATTCTGCTTTAAATTGTTTTCTTTTTGAAGGAAGGTGAACTGGAGCAGGGGGCAGGGGTGTAGAATAATTCAAAGATGAACTAACGATTTCTTCAAGCCTTCATTTATTTGGCCAACAGATAGTTATTGCACGCTTATTTGAACATGGAGCAAAGAGTACCAATATCTCTCACTGGCTTGGTGAAGTACAAGTTTCTCCTCATTATGCAGGAGTCTGTCCCCTATGCAGGAGACGCTGCAGGCCAGCAGGAGCCCAGGTGTTGGCTTAGTAACCAGCTTAGCCGTCCAGAAGACTTTGCTCTTTTGGCACTTCTGTTTGCACTCCCACGGTCTCTGCAGTGGAGTGAAAGGCGAAATGCACCCTGGCCATTAAGAATTTGGGCTTGGAAACGACCACGGTTCACTTTCTGTCATGCCTTTCTGTCTAGAACTAGCAGTGTGTAGTCAGTCCCTACCTATCCTCCGAGGACTGAGGAATGTGGTCTTTTGTCTATTCAGGAAAAAGAACTGGAAATATTAGTTAACACTTGTAATGTCAACCATATTTGCCTGGAGAGCAAATAAAACCTCCTGAAATCCAGAGGGCTAACGAGACAAAGCAAGCAGTAACCGAATTGGAAGACACAGTGTGGTGTCGCTGATTTGCTAACCCAAAACGTCTTCCTTTACTACTAACACACGATAGCACTTACTACTCTGATTACTCTAGGATGCAGTCCAACCAGGGGGACCAGAGAGCCCCACACCACACCCTGGCTCAGATAACTGATAACTAAGATAACTCAGATAACTGATCCAGGGCTACAAGAGATGGAAAAGGTAGGAGCTGAGACTGGAAAGGTGAGCAGAGCCACACTGCAAAAGGCCTCCTGTATCACTCTCAGGAGTTCAGAGTGGCAGCGAATGGGAGAGGAAAGGCTTCCGGAGGGCACCAAACGCTCCGCATTTCAGAAAGACAGCTCTGGCTGCAGGATGGGCAACAGTTGGAGGTGGGATATGCCTTGACCAACAGGCACCTGCTGTGGTTTAGATGTTAGAATCAAGACGCACAGAAACAGTGTTAAGGAGTAGGGCTTTTGGCGAAGTGATTGAAGAAGCCCTTTTAGCAAAGGCTGAAGGAAGAGCCCTGGACCTTTTTGCCCTCCCAGGAGAGGGCACAGCATTTATCCCTTCTTCCCGAGAGGATGCAGCACCAAGGCACCATCCTGGAAGCAGAGAGCAAGCCCTTTCCAGACCCTGCATTTGCTGGTGCCTAGACCTTGGGCTTCTTACTCCTCAGAAACGTGAGGAAACAAATTTCTATCATTTACGAGTCACCCAGTCTAAAGAATTTTGTTTCAGCATCAGGAATGGACTAAGACAGTCCTTGCTGTCAGTATCCAGCCAAAATGTAAAGGTGGCTTCAACTGCATCCACGCACTGGGCCTGCAGTGAAGCCGGGGGACCATAGCCTGTATCAGTGGGGCTTGCTCAGTGACCAGACAAGAGAGCCAGGGATGGGGCGTGGTTTGTTCTACACGGGGCAGGCACAGGTGTCTGCTGCTTTGGCTATCACGTCATGGGCTACTGACCCACAGCCATGATCATCCAAGAGATTCTATCATTACACTGGAAGTTTTGGGGGCCTTGCATGATTCTTCTGGTATAAAAACGATTGCCAGTTTTTACTGGCAAATTGGAGTTATCCACAGTCATCTCACATAAGGACCGATGTGATGGGGCCTCATTTTATCAAGGCGTTTAAAACTGAAATCTTATGAAAATGCAGCCAGGCATGGCGGTGCATGCCTGCAATCTCAGCACTTTGGGAGGCTGAGGCAGGAAGATCACAAGTCTGAGCCCAGCCTAGGTAATTCAGCATTTAGTAAACCTTGTCTCCAAATAAAATAGGGCTGGGGATGTAGCCCAGGGGGAAGGCCCTGGGTTCATTCCTCAGTATGGCAAAAAAAAAACAAACAAACAACTGTTTTCCCTTGTATATATTTGACTTGTGGTTATATTAGGCATTTAAACTCAAAATTGGTTCAGTAGTAGCAGTAATATTCTCTTTGCCATTGATCTTTGAAAATCCACTTCTCGTTTCTAATGGTCCTTCAGAAATCATCTGTCGCCTGCCCACCATTCCATATGCAAAGATTGTGTCTGGATTTGGACCCATCTACACTTTGAAAGACTCTATCATGTTTAGCTGCCAGAAGGGTTTTGTCCTCAGAGGCAGCAGTGTAATCCGTTGTGAATCTGACAACACCTGGAATCCTTCTCCTCCTGTGTGTGAGCCAAGTAAGTAGGGCCACTGAGGGATTTCATGCCTGACGTCTAAAGTTACCCAGAAGTACGGGCACACTGAGCCCAGCTGAAATTTAAGTTTAGGTCGATAAATTCCTTTATTATTATTGTTTTTGTTGTTGTTGTTAAGCATGGTTTCAGTGTACTCTGCAAGGTTGGATATCAACATAAAAGGCTGCCACGTACAGTTTTCCAGGTCATTTTCAATCCAGTCCTGCATTATTAACATTGCAGATGTGGTGGGTTATATATTTGTGTCAAGAATTTTCTGGCAGTTGATAGAACATTCTCTTAGTTTAACAAATTCCTCACAGTTTCCATCATTATTTTGAAATGTAAACAATAAAATGTCCAGAGAGAAAAATGTCTTTTTCTAGCTTGCCCCTCATTATTGGATGGACTAGGTATGATTCTGAAAATTTGAAATTATAAATTAATGTGGCCCTTTAAAAATAATGCTAAAAGTAATAAGGCTAAGTTGGAATTAGTATCAGGGCATAACACATACCAAGTCAATAAATCTTCCGGATAATTGTGAGAGCTACTAATATCCTCATTTTTTAGATGAGGAAACTATTCACAGAGGTTAAGTGACTTTCCTAAGATTATACAACTGGTAAGGGGAAGAATCCTTGGGTGCCTGGTGCTCTGAGTTTTAGCCTCATGCAGAGTCGAGAGCCTTTGCTTGGGGGGACTTCTGCAACAGTGGTTGGGCAAATCTCCTGCAGTGACAAATATATATTTTTGGGGGGAGGGGCAGGGTCTCACTATGTAATTCAGGCTGGCCTTGAACTCACAGTGATTCTTCTGCCTCTGCCTCCCATGTGTTGGGATTACAAGCATGAGCCACCTCACCCAGCTAGAGCGGCACATATTAAGCTGGTCAAAATTAGCAAAGAAAATCATTCATGGTACTTATATCAAATTGAGAAGCATTTATTCAGTGAATCTGTGGAGATTTGATGCAAATGGTAGCAGGCTGTTTTGTTTTTTGTTTTTTTACTTATTTAGGAAATTTTATAATTTCCCTCCCAAGGCATGGGCAGAAACTAGCCTGTGGAGAAAGAGTTAGAGGCACATTTGGTCCACGTTCCTGTGTGCGATTATAGATGGGGTGGGGGAGAATGCAGGGACTTCAAGGGACCAAGACATGGCCTGGTTGGGCAAGGGTTATGGGCCAAAGCAAAGCAGATGAGTTCATCCTAGTTTGGGGTGCTGCTTGGTCTTGCCCTGGGGTTCCTGGATCTCGCAGAAGCTAAGCCACATTAGCCACATTGACAGCATAGGTGTTACAAACAATACAGAAGTCATAGAGCACGAAGAACAGGATCCAGGCTAAGTAGATAGATACAGTAGGGACACCAGGGTACTCAGCACCAGCAGGACAGAGGCCCAGCATCCTCACAGGCAACATAACAGCAGTTGTAGAGAGTAAAAAATGCACCCAAATATGCTGTTGGATTGATTGAGGATGCTGTCTGCTCCCAGCACGTGCTTCACCAGCTCGAAGGTAGCAGTATTAGGATGAGGGATTACACTCAGCACCCAAAAGCACCATTTTGTTAGAAAAATATTTCTGTGGACTCACAAGGGGCAGTTCCAATGTCCCCCAGCTCTCTGAGGTAGAAGTTATTTGGGGTAAGTCTGGAAGCCACTGAACACTAAATTTCCCTAAGTCCCATGCTGTGAACTGGTGCCAACAGCCAGGCATAAGAGTCTGTTCCTCTACCCCAACTTCGGTTACACAGAGAGGGTCCAGGTAAAGCAGCTGAAAGAATTTAGCTCTCATTTCCTACACAGCTCTGTGTTACAGGAAAGCTGTTCCAGTGGGCTGGGCAGCTGAGTGGCATCTCCTATTTTCCTTAGCTTCCAAGAATAGAATGGTTGTGGGTAGATTTGAAAACCAGTGAATAATGGCAACTCTCATTTCCCTCGGCTCTGTGCTGTGTACACTTGGAGACAGGCGCAGTTGGGTGGCAGAACTGTTTCCTGCGATACCCCTCTCCCTCTTCACAGCTTCTATACTCTGGCAAGGATTCTGGTGGGATAACTGGTGGTTTTCTTAGCTTCTCATCTACAGTACAGAAGTTTTTCCAGTGTGGGTTGGGAGCAATCTTCAAAGACTGTTAATATTCTGTCCCTGCCAAAGGGCCTGTCTTTAATCAGATCAGACTGTGAAGCATTTTATGCCTCAGGGAGTAGTAAAAAAATAATAATAATTGACCAATCACATAAGTCCTGGAGGCTAACAGTTAAATGTAATATAACAGAGGCAGGTGAGCCAAAAACTTAATGAGAAAGAGTTGATGAGTGAAAGCACAATCACCCCTGGCAGTTAGCAGGACAGAGCATGTCCAAGGCTGTGCTGTCTGCAGCATGCCATTAGATGAGGCACATTTTGAGGAAAATAGACTTTACTGAACTAATCTAGTCAAGTCACTAGATAAACAAGCAAACTAGTGGAAAGCAACAGGCCCTGAAGTTGGTGAGAGAGAATTAGACCAAAATTGCAGTATTATCTGACTTGCCCAGCTTTCAACAGATCATTATCAGACATGAAAAGAAACAGGGGCCACCCATACCAAGAGAATAAACCAACAATAGAAACTTCCTTGGAGGAGACTTAGAGGCTGGACTTAGCAGAAAAGAAATTCAAAGAAGTTCAAAGCAGCTATTATAAATATATTCAAGAACTAAAAGAAACAACATTTAAAAAATGTAAAGGAAAGTATTGTCACAATGCCTCACCAAATAAAACATATCAATAAAATAGAAAGTATTTAAAAATCAAGGGTAAATTCTAGAGTTGAAAAGCACAATGCATAAAATGAAAAATTCACCAGAGGAGTTCAAGAGTAGACCCAGGTTGGCGGAATAAAGAAATAGTGAATTTGAAGATAGACTGATTGAGAAGACATAATCTGGAGTATATAGAGAATAAATAACAAGGAGAAATGGAAAAAGCCTGAGGAAAGTGAGATACTTTGTTAAGTTCACCAATATATGCATACTGATAACAGACGAAAGGAGAGGTTAAAAAAAAAACTTTTTAAAAATACAATTAAAAGAAAAATGGCTGAACTTTTTCCAAAATAGACAAAAAATTAATTTATACGCTCAGGAAGTTCACTAAACTTAAGTAGGATAAATTTAAAATGATCCAGATACGGAGACATTATAGTCAAAATGTTAAAAGCCAAGGATAAAGACACAATCTTGAAAGCAGCAAGAGGAAAGCAGCACATCAGGTGTACCGACCCCAGTAAGATTAGCAGCTGACTTTGCATCATTAACAATGGAGCTGGATAGCAGTGAGGTAACAGATTCAATATGTAGCAGGAAAAAGAAAATCAATGAAGCATCCAGAAAAACCTTTCCTATCTGTTTATTAGAAACACCACATTGTTGTAGTTATTGCTTAATATAATTTTGTTTCATTTTTTATGGAGGCTTAGAGAAAAAAGCAGGTATTATTTAGACAGTTGATTATGTTAAACTGCTTCTTTGCCATTTCAGGATCTCTTTATTCCATCCTGTGGATCCAGATTATTATCTGATGTTTTCATTCTCCAATATAGTTTTGTTCACACCCACCTCCCTGTGCTATTATTGTTAAATGTATTGTGTTTATATTGTGGACTCAATCATGATTTGTATACACATTGTTTTTTGCAAGTGCTGTTAAATTAGGAAAGTAAAGAAGAATGGGGTACCAATATATGATACAACGTGAATGAACTTTGAAGATACTACATTCAGAGAAGCCAGATCCCTTGAAAGTACTATTTGATTCCATTTATTCGAAATGCACAGAATAGGGAAATCCATAGAGAGAGAAAAATAAGTTAATAGTTACCGGGAGGACGTGGGAATTAAGAGTGACTGCCAGAAAATGTGGGTTTTCTTTTGGAGGTGATAAAAATAACCTGAAATAAGATAGTGGTGAAGGTTGCAAAATTCTGTGACTACACCAAGAACCGCTGAGTTCTACGTACGCTTTCAAATGTTTGCACATGAAGAGTAATGGATATCCAATATTACATTTCCTTATCATATGAGTCAGCAGCACTAGGAAAGGGAAGAGGACAGGGCGCAAAGTTCAGCCTCCAAAAACGCGTAGGGCTTGGTCAGTACTCACCATATCGTCAGTGATGAAGTTCCTGGGGCTGCCTGGATGTGAGGAATGACTTTTTTATTTTCTCCAGTCAGTCAGGAAATGTAGAAAGTTAGATTTGTTTGATCTGACCATTTTCCTGCCAGGTTTACTTAGTAAGCTGAACGCTTCAGTTCAGAAACTAAGCTTTGAGGTGCCCTGGAGAGGAAGGAGGGTTAATATTATGTGTAGTCGACGCAACACGCAGGAACCATTTGGGGTGTCCCTTGTGGGGACCTCTCTGGGGTGGGAACAGCGGGGCAAATGATCGTCTGTATTTTCGGATGTGGTTTAATTCATCCACCGCTGCAGGGTGGTTTCTAAGCGAATGAGCACCTGAGGGGACGGGTCGTTGGCGGTGGAAGTCACAGTGTTCTTCCCTCCTGTTCTCTCTGAGCAGATAGTTGCACGGACCTACCAGACATTCCAAATGCTTCCTGGGATGAATACATCAGGCCAAGGAGAGGGAACTTGTATTCACCCGGGACAGTGTTCAAGTACTATTGTCATCCTGGCTACAGACCTGCTACACATGAGCCCACAACTGTGACTTGTCAGAGTGATTTCAAATGGAGCCCATTCAAAGGGTGCAAGAGTGAGTTTTTGTTTTTAAAATATTTTTGCATATTCAATGTTTAGTATGTGATAGGATCCTCTACTTTGAATTAATATAAGTTTTTCCCTCAGGATAAATTTAGAGTACACAATTTCAGGCAAACAGTGGACTATTATCACCAAAAGGGACCGTAAGAGACTAGGAGTTTGAGGTGCTAAGAAATCATAACCTTTCCTTAGGCCAGTTGAGAGTCAACTGAGAAATAGATCAGAAGTCAAACAGTACACAGGTGAAGTGTTCACTTCATTCCTGGGAAAGGCAGAGTGGAGATTACAGCTGTTAAGCCTTCCCAAGGTAAACTGTGGGGTGCCCAGCAGAAGGGCAGTCTGGGAAACAATCATGAACTTGGCCAACGACAAGCTGACCCGTGTCTCATGTCCCTTGAGATGTGAGACATTGGGCTCGCCACCGGCTCTGAGAAGACAGATCCTGACTCCTGACCTGGTGTTCCCACCTCAGAATGACAGAAAGGAGATTTTTCTCCAGCTTTGCCGGTAGGAGGGGTGCCGCCTCCTCTGCTTGTGGGAAGGAGTGAAGGCTGCAGAGCAAGTGGATGCCATTTTATGGACATCAGTGAACACGATGAGAAAGGAAGGAACTGCCTCTGTGCAACCTACTAACAGAACCTCCTCATTCTAGAGGGGAAACACTGTAACCTGGGAAAACCAGGCTACAGGGAATGTTATGCCCTAGATTAGAATTTGAAATGTGTGAAATGTACGAATAATGAAAAGTGGTATTTTAGATCAACCAACCAGATTATTTCATATTGAAACTTGATACAGCTTATTGCAGTTATTCCAACTCAACTTGGGGAAAGAGCTTTTAGTAAAAAGGCCGAAACAAAAAATATATTTAACAAAACTTATGGCTACCACCTGCTTATCAAAGTGTTACTTGTAGATGTTTAAAACCTACTTTTAGTTGTATTTATTTTACTTGAATAGTCTTATTGATTTAATTGTATACTGAAGGATATTATTAACCATTGAAAAAGCAGAAATGAAATGGTATTAAATGTGCAATCTGATTATTAGACTCATGATTTACATATTTGTGTTTTCTACACTATAAAGCATTGCATATTGTTCTGATTTAAAAATCAGGTGGACATTGGATGTTTTTGTTATATTTCACAAAAAAATGTATACAGACTGTGTTTTAGCATGCCTATGAGACTCCACTCTCATGCCAGCCAAGCTCCTCATATAGGGAATAGTGTATTTTATTCTGTTCTGATGTCTTGTCTTACATCAAACAATACCAATTTACACTATAAGGTATTTCTACCAATGAAAGACTGCAGCCCTATACAGCTCTTGTTTTAAAAATGAAAGAAATCGGATACCTATTTCTCTCAATTTTGCACCAAACGAGAACAATCCTAACCATCAGCAATAATTTATGTTTATGGTTATGCATTAGCTGTCAGGTGCGTATACTGCTGAGAACTTCCCTTTTCCTTGTGACCGAAGAAACCTATGCTACTAGAAAGCTTAATCATGATGCAACTCCAGCGAAGCCATAAGTAAATGGATGTAGTCATTTTTCTTGAATAACATTGAAAATTTACATTTTCATACAGGTCTTCTACAACTTTTCAGTAGGAGGCTTCTCATGGAGATGCTCAGTTGGAGGAAAATGACTGGATTCAAGCTCTTCAGCAGTCTGGGATGGGTGACCCAGAGTGAGGCTGCCTGGGGCCTCCTTTTCCATTTTCCCAACCACTGTTCAGAGGCCGGAACCTCCCAAAAGTGGACATGAGATCATTAGCTCTGAGAGCATGCTCGTGTTGTCCTCACTGATATCCTCACTTTTTATTTTTAGAGGTTTGTTGCCCAGCCCCAGAGGTGAAGAATGGTGGAAGCATAGAAACAGAAGCTGTCGTTACCACTGAGTGTCCTTATTCTCCCAACGACATCATTTACTATAGATGTGTGGACAGGCAGTTGCGCCTGACAGCATGCCAGTCGGATGGCACGTGGAATGCCCACATGCCCCTCTGTGGCCGAGGTAAGAGCAACTAGCTCTGTGTTATGCGGGAGTTTCTTCACATCACCGTGACGGGGATTATTAGGGGAAGGTTTAGAATTGGGAAAAATACACCCACTCTTCTTGGAGTAGACCCAACTTTTTCTTTTTTGCCCTCATGCTTTGTTCCCATTCTTTTGGTTTCCCCCCTTTCCTCTTTGCTGAATCATTGAATGTAGATCACAACTAATAGATCAGCTAAAGTTTTCAAGTACTGCATTTTGTTTCTTCATACTTACTCTTTCTATCCCTTTACTTCTGGTCTGTATGTCTCACTCTGCAGAACAGAACCTGCCCACATCTTTTTATACCTGCTTTTCTGAGCTTACATCTTCTTCTTCTTCCTTAGACAGTGCTTTTCTGCTGCCTCTAGATTTTCCTGTTGGTCTTCCACCCCACTGTAAAATTCCTTCCTCTCCTGAGTGAATATCTTAGTCACCATCCTCGTCACAGGAGCACAATACCAACACCCATACTTTGAAAGAGGAGAGGTTTATTTTTTCTTACAGTCCACGTTTAGCAGGCTTAGATGGAGAAACAGCATGGCAGAAGATCACAGCAGCAGGAAGGCTATTCGTGTTAGAGTCGCCAGAAAGCAGAGGGCGAAGAGATTAGCCAGAAAGGAAGAGACACTCTTTTAGGTGTCACCACCAACCCACTTGTCCTGGCAAGGATGCCCTCCCAACAGCAGATCAGCTGTATTGCTCCCAAAATTCAGCCATCATCCTTCCAAATGGTGGGGTCTTGTTTCCCTCATGGCCTGAGCTCTTGCTTTAGAGAATTATTTTTCAGGTTCATTGTAGCAACAAATCTTATTCTCTGGTGTTGAAGATTACTCTCTTGTGCTAGTATTAGAGGGCATTTTCCCCAAATAAATTGTTATGGCTTGCTACACACAGGAAAGAGCCAGCCAGCTGGTCTTTTTCTCACTTACAGCTGCTGAAATGCCTTCAGCCCAAAATAATCAATAGAGTGCTCCCGCAGATTTTGGAGAAGCACATCCTTAACTCATTTGTCAATGGCTCAAACACTATCGTCCTTTAGATAGCAGGGCTAATGAAGGTTGTGCAAATGAGAAAGGCAAACTCAAGCTACAACTCTTGTCTATTTCTGTCAGAATAAACTGCTGTCTTCCAGGGTGGAAGGGGTCCCATATAGACAACTTGCCACTGGTTGCCTCAGGGGATGGTATCATATCAGGGACTGACCATGGTTGCGGGCAGTGGGGAAATTCGGTGATAACAGTCTTCCTAAGTGGGCATCCATGCTGTTGGATCCATCCTGATTTCCCATTCATGATACCATGGCCACTTTGCTCCTGCTTTTCTGTGCCTGAAGCCAGTGACTACAAAGGATGGCTGACTTTGACTGGCTGAGACATTTTTTCCTACTTGGTGATGTGATGCCTCATCTAGTGGGGAGCTCTGGTATGAACATATGAAATGAGCATCTTCAAACTTCCTGCCTACTCCTGGATGTATACTTCTCTGCTCTTACCCACCTCTTCTAGTGCCAGTCTTCAAGTCTTTCTCTGTAGGACCTTGACCAGACAAGCCATTTGTTGCGTGCCATGAGTCCCAAATTAGCCTATTCCGAGGTATTTCTTTTAAGGTGCATGGCTGTGGTAGTCAGTTTTCCCACTGCTGAACACAATGACTGACACCCACAACCTAAAAGGAGGAGGGATTTAACTGGGTTCACAGTTCAGGAGATTCTGTCCAAGGTGAGCTAGGTCCAAGGCAGAAACATAACGGAGGAAGAGCACAGCAGGGGAAAGCTGCTCGCTTCATGACAGCTGGAAAGCAGGGGAGAAGAGAGGAACTGGGCACAAAAGTACACCTTGTCAGGTCCTATCTGTGACCCGCCTGTCCTAACGAGGCCCCACCTTGTAATGGCACATTCACCTGCGAACTCACCACAGATGAGTGTATCAACTCCACGACCCCGTCAGCCCTCCACGTCCCACTCCTGTCCCCCTGGGGGACGTTCTAGATTATAATCATGACGACTACCTACATGCAGCTCTGCTCATCTGGAAGACTTCCTCTTACCACTCTGGCTGGGTTCTAACACAGCTTCCGTTCATTTATTCCCATACACACACCCGCAATTCTCGTCTGTGAACCATACTTGGTCTTCTCCATGCACTGTCAGTTAGTTACAATGGAAACGCGGCCCTGTAGCCGCGAGAGCAAGCTAAGGAAAAGCTCGTGTGAAAACAGCTGGCCGCAAAGCAGAGATTGGGGTTCTTGTGCTTTTCGCCTGCACCATCTGGACCTGCTCCTCCTCCGTCCCGGATAGACCACTTCCAACGTCCAATGGATTATCACCAGCCCTACTTTGTAATTTGATGTATCTGACAGATCCAGTTGGTGATGAATGAGTTTGGTCATGGTCACTTTTGATGTGGCAAACCACTGAATATTTATCTTCCGTTCTGTGGAGCATCGTGACGCCAGCTACTTTCTGATCACTCAGTGGAATTAGCACAATGCCATTGATGTACCTAATCGAGGCGGTGTATTGCAGATACCCAAACTGCTCCTCACCACTCTGCAGAGGGGTGGAAAAGAAGGTTTCTGCTAAACCAGCAGCCTCATTTACTTGAAGTCACACTAATCTTCTCTAGCGAAGATATCGCTTCTGGTACAGAGGCTGTGATAGGGACTTACATGTTTAGTTTTTCATAGAGTACTGCAGTTTTCCAAAATCCTTGTAACTTTTCAATAGACTGGCGAATTTAATGGAGATATGGTCATGTGATCACTCTCACATATTTAGCTCTCTAAAAGGAATACTAATTTCCCCATTCCCTTCCTACCTCTCAGGATATTTAGATTATAATATATATGTAAAGTATATATAAACTATAATTTATTTACATATAAATTAGTAAACACACACATACTTTTACTTCCTTTGCTTCAGGAAGATGTGAGGTGGTTGGGCAGTATCAATCTCTCCCTCTTGGCCTTATTGTTTATGAAAACTCTTACCTGACCCTACCTCCAGGAATCCAATTCTGTCTCCTCTCAGGGTTAATGTAAATGACCACCAAGTACACTGTTCTTAAGTTCAGGCGGCATTTTTGGCCAGCCTTTCTCAGTGGATGACACAGTGTGTAGACTCACGTTTAGAACCAACCTCTTTGATATGAGTCATGGCATTTGTGTTTTGCTCATTTTGGGCAGGGTCAGCTGTGGGCTTCCCAAAACTGTGACTAAAACAAGAATACTGTGCAAGCAAGAGGCATAGAGGGGATGGTAAATAAAACATGGACAGGCTAAGGCCTTTTCTCACATGTGAACTAAGACAAATGTCAGCTTCTGACTTAAATCCCAGATGCAGCCGCACAGTGGAAGGCAGCCACTCACTCACCTCCACAAAGCCTGCCACCGGAGAAGCTCAGGTGCCACTAGCCACTCACTGATAGGGTTCTGATCTGAGTCTGCAAGCAGCTGATTTAGTGAGGCAGCCAGACCTCTTGCTAATGTTCTTCTGTATTTGCAGCCACTCCCCAGTGATAGCATCACTAGTTCAGCTCCACCACAGATCAGCAGGCATTGGATTCTCATATGGAGCACAACCGAAATCCCTCACATGTGCAGGTCAGAGTGGGGTTCCTGCTCCTGTGGGCACCTTAATGCTGCTGCTGATTGACAGAAAGAGAAGCTCCGGTGCTGCCTGAGGGGAGCAGCTGTAAATACAGATGGAGCCTGGCTTGCTCATACTCAAATCAGCCGAGTTCCTAACCAGCCATGCCCAGTACTGGTCCATGGCCTGCGCTTGCAGCCCTCTGCTCTAGGCCTTCCCACGGAACAGAATGGCCTGGTGAATTTCCCAGTGTACAAAGTATATTCACTCCAGCAACCCACTTCCTTGAGTCATTTAATCCCTTCTGCCATCTCCCATGGCAATCCCAGAATTTTCTTTGCATCTGTGCAAGCCATCTCCTTTTCCATGTGTCTAGGATGCATTTTAATATGGTGCATCAGTATAATTCTTTATCTGGCATCCTCTCTGCATGATCTTATTTAGCTTTCTCCTGCAATGTTTCCCTAAACAGAATACACTTCAGAGAGCTACTCTATGCCCTGTCTTATTTATGATTTCAACATAAAACCTACCATTTCTATTCTTCCCAAAGAGCAGCCTTCTGAAATATAAATGCAGTTAGGTTTTCTTAATGGAAGCAGATGAACAGTTTTGACTGAGGTCAGTAATTCTGACTAGAGAGTCTGGATGGATTTAACAACCTCACAGTCTCAGAGATGCATAGGAAGGGGAGAAAAATATAATTTTCCTTAACCTTCAGAAGTTTGTTGTCTGAACACTTCCCTAAAGCAAAAGACAGATTAGTAAAAGAAAAACAAGCAAGCTTAATTAAATATGTCATACTTACCAAATGGGAGAGAAGTCACTCTCTTTGGAAAGTAACTCTTCCAAAGCAGTGGCTTGGAACTGTCTTAATATTTTAGCCAAGAGTCCTAAATCTTAGAGAAATGACAGGTCAAAGAAGAGAGCAGATCTAGTCTCAGAAAGGTGAGGAAACTGAGATGGGAGTAGAATCTGTTGCCAGATTCCTCTGGCTCTGCTAGTGCTGATAAGAAATTGAGAATTCGCATCTCTGTCTCAGGCAGGAAAGGGGGAGTGAAAGACAGAACAGTCAGAGAGCTCCTCTGCACTTTCAGTGAGTTTACATCAACAACGGTAAATACTTCAGGGAGAAATATTTTGGTGTTCTTCTTACACCCTGGTACGAAGCTGATTAAGAGTGCCATCACTGCTGTGTGACCAAATTGGGGGCCAAATCCTGCCTTTATGCAAAAATGGTCATGAAACAATGTAGGGGGAACTAATAAAATGAAAGCCTTCTGTTAGCTAGCTTTATTTCACAACAGTAAATACCTCAGGCAATCAACTTACGAGGTGGAGAGTGTTATTTTTGTTCGCAGTTTTGGAGGTTCCAGTCCAGGACCCTTTGACACTGCTGCTTTGGATCTGTGCTGAGATGACACATCACGGCAGGACACATCACGGCTGTCCTCTTCAGCAGGAGCCAGGAGGCAGAGAGAGCAAGAGAACAGAATCCCACATCTGACCTAAGAACCTACCACTAGGCCCCCCACTTTGAGTTCCACTTCCCAATAATGCCACCTTCGTGATCGAGTCTAATTTACAGGCCACTGGGGGGTATTCAACCTATAGCAGTTTATAGCTTGGGTCTGTCTGCTTCCCTAGCCTGAGGCTTGCACGAGGGCAACACAAGTGATTTTATGGGCAGAGAAGATAGAAGGACAGAAGGAAGCCTTCTATAAGCTGTACAGACTCCGAAATGTGTTACTTCACACGTTCTACAAGCTCACACTCTCTTTTGTCCCATCCTCAAGGCTGTGAAGTGCCTCCTAGCATTGCCCATGGACATTATGAAAAAGTTTCACTATATCACTCATCATTTGTATATAAATGTGATGAAGGTTACAAGCTGGTTGGACAAGAGAAGATCTCCTGCAAGGATTCCCAGTGGTTATCTGAAGCCCCTCAATGTAAAGGTAACTCGGCTCCCTGCTCAGGCAATGGCCAAGGTCATGGAACTGTTGCTAGAGGAAGACGCAAAGCTTTTCTCTGCCATAGGAAGCACAGAAACATTTTATTTCAGTATATTGAAGTCATATATGCAGATGATACCCCACTGCAAAGCACACTCACACACACTCACACACACAAAAGCACACAAACATGACTCCTCTCCACTTCTTTCTCCCAATCACAGATTTCAGCCTTCTTGTTTCAGCCCCTCTTCCTGCTTGCTTGTACATACTTCCAGAAATAGTCTGGAGACATCACCTTTTATGAGTACACCTGTGCACCCATGAAAAATACTCCAGGAAACTTACTCTAACATGCACGCAGGCTCTCTTGGGCCAATTTCAAGCCTCCTGGAGTGGTAGCTACTTCCATCAAAGCACCTCCTGCACCGTAGAGGTGGGGTGTTTCGGGGGGCCTCCTAAGGCCAATCAGTTGTGGGAATGGGAGCAGTCAAGACTGGAGGTGATTTTTTATGCATGCAACAATCGTATCACTCGATTATAATCATACAAGGGTCATTTGACACCATGTTCTCCGTTGCACACAGAAGAGTAACAGGCAGTGGGGAGCCCCCCATGCCTAGAATCACACAGTAACCCCATGAGAGTTACTTTGCTAGCTGAGGCTCTGGGGCCACATTCACCTTAAAAAAATATCTGGTCACATTATTTAACCAAGGTAAGACAATGGGCAAGTTTCTTACCTTCTCTGTATCTGAACTTTCTCCTAAGTAAAGTGGAGTTAAATGGTGGAACTCATCTCATTGGGCTTCTGCGAGGGATAACTGAAATAGTCATGTGACATGCTCAGGCTGTTATGCTCAATAAAAATATTATTATCAAAATGAAAAAATAGAAATAACAATATGAAGCACCTAAACATAACTCATTCTTATTATCTTCCACTATTACTGTGTTTTTCTTAGATTTGTAGATTGTCTAAAATACCTTTCCATTGTAGCTCAGTGTCTGAAGCCTAAGATAGAAAATGGAAAGCTGTCTGTGAACAAGCCTCTGTACATAGAGTCTGAAAATGTCACCATCCACTGTGACGCTGGCTTTGGAGTCGTGGGTTCCCGCAGAATCACTTGCTCTGGGAACAGAACCTGGTACCCAGCGGTGCCCAAGTGTGAGTGGGTAAGCGGACAACTCTGGCAGCTCTATGCTGTCAAGTGTGGTGCTCTCCTGCAAAGTTGTGTGCTGGCCAGAAATGGTGACGTACGATTTGTCAAGAATCAATCCTGAGCCCCTCAAATATCCCTTTTTTCTCTTGAATCACTTTGGTGAGTCAGCAGTGTCAAGTTTCCCTACTGTCATTTGAGTGTGGGAAAAACTGACTGCCTTAGAGAGTAGAGTCCTGTAGACCTAGGAGCATTGGTCCCTAGCTGCTTCTAGACCACACAGCATAAGGTTCTGTGGCTGCATGGTCAGCAGCAGTCTCTCTGCCATATCCACCACCGTGTCTCTTTCAGGATGTACCAGAAGGCTGTGAACAGGTTGTCACAGGCAGGAAGCTCATGCAGTGCCTGTCAAGTCCCGCTGAAGTGCGGATGGCCCTGGAGGTGTATAAGCTGTCTCTGGAGATCGAACTGCTGCAACTACAGATAGACAAGGCCAGGCGATCCACTCAGGAGTGGTAGCTGTGGGAGAAAGAGATGCCTGGATGTCTTGCTGTCTCCAATTCCATGCAGACCAATTTAGCAACTCTTCTGTCACACTGCACCTCTACTCATGACAATAAATATCTAGAGAGGCTCATTGGTTAAAGTGTAGTGCTTTGAGATTATGGAATTACTGATCACCTGTGCCTCATATATTTACTTCTCTGCATGCAAAGTGTACATTTTTCATTTACAATGTATGACTTTGTGGTCATTTAGTACTCTATGAAGTGAGCATTTTAAATGCATTACATGAAGTTAATACGATTATTTTAATGTATGGGCTGCAAACAAAAACAAACAAACAAAAAAAAACAAAACAAAAACGGCTCCCATAAGTGTGTCTCAGGGCATCAGTGTGTCTCAGATCGGCCTTTCCTCACAGCTCCACTGAAACACATCGCTCATGGCCTCAGAGGATTAAACGTCAACCTAAGGCCTGCCCATCACCTCATGGAGGGGCTCAGCTCATCTCCACAGCTCCAATCCCCGGGCGCGTTGCCTTGTGCCTCTCACCACATCTCAACGGCTGCCTTCCACAGAGGGGACGTGCATTTGTGTCCGACCTCCTCAGCCCAGCCCCAGAGAAGGAGCTCCAGGACCCACGGAAACGAAACCCTCCTGGCAACTGCACACAACCCCAATCTTCCATCCGTTTGGCCGCCATTTTCCTTAATGTTAAATTAAAATGGCGTCGGCAGCTGGCTCACGGGTCAGGAGAAAGCCTCAGTGATCTCCCGCACGTCTCTCTCTGGGTGCACTGGAGGGTTTTACTTTCACTTTCTCCGCGTCCTACTTCCTGTGGAGCATCTTTCTCACGCTGATTTCAGCTGTTCTTGCTGTCTCTTCTCTCTTTTACACAGAACTCTGTGAGTGATGTCTGTCGGCTTTTTTGATCAGTTTCCCAAACACAAGAGACCAGAACGCCTCTCAGGCTAAGAGAGGGGCCCGAGCTGCTAAAAAACAAAACAAACCAAACACCTAATATGGAGAGGGTGACGGAAAGTGGCCGCCAACTTCTGAGCAAGTGGGAGAAGGATGGGGAAAGAAGGAAGGCTGAAGAGAAACCAGTCCTGAGGGGGCTGCTGCTATTGCTGACAGGGCGCAGTCCTGCCAGCACCCTGAGGGGCCAGGTGGGACCCACTCCGAGTCATGTCCTGAGAATGAGAACCTCCCTGGTAGGCCAAGAGCATAAGGATGGGGCACAGTGGGCTTCTCTAGAGCTGCCTTCTCTGAGTGGTCCCATCAGTGCCCTCCATCTCCCTACACGGATCTTACTTCCCTGGTCAGATTTCTGGGTCATAGGTCTATTCTTGCCCCAACCCAATTTTCTTCACTTTTGTAGAGTAATCTATCTGTCTACTTTCTTCTTTCTCGTTGCATGCTGGCCTATATGGGTTAGATCTTGTTATCAAATTTTTATAAATTGAAGAATTGTCAAACACGCCTCTGTATGAACTAATTCAACTTAATTGACATTTCTGAATAAGTCCAGAATCCATCAGGACAAACTCGATTCTCTCTTTTTGGTTCTGGGCATGTGGATGTATGTTGGGCCTGTGAGGCCTGCGACATTTTTTGAATTATATGTTGTCCTCCTCTGCTCTCACTGTATATGTATTTCATGTACTATAGCTTTCATCTTTCCTACATTATGGACCAAAAATATGATCTCGGAGAGTGTGACTGTTAGAAAAGTGGCTTAGAAAAGGATTTATAAGCAAAACAAGAACAAGAACTTGTGCAGCCAGCTGCTCAATGATGGTTTGAATAAGAGGCAGGAAAGGAGCCTAGATATTTTATACTAGTGATTCTAAAGAAAATTTCGAATACACAGAAAAATGATTACCATTGGCATTGAGGAGAAGGGCAGATGTATCACAGTAGGAAATGGAACCACCAGCCCAGGCTTCCTGTTAGTAGTAGTACAGTTGCAAGCAAAGGAAACTGAGGTAGGTGTCCCTCACAGCTGTGCCAGCTTCCTGCCGAGCTGCTCTGTACTTCAGCCTCTGCAGGATTGGAGAGGGCATCGGCCAGCTCCTTGGGTTAGACGTGATAAGTACCTGGTACTTCCGGTTTCCCTTGCTCATTTTTGCTAATTCTTACTCAAACCTTGCCACCAGAAGAGAAATTACAGCCCCATCTTTTTCCTCCTAAAACCAAATATCGCTCAGAAAATCTGCATTCATTAAACAATGATTTTTCAAACATGACTTTGCCTCTATATTTCATTATGTGCTAGCTGAATTGTTTCATCAGTTTTATAATGTATGTCTTATTTTATTATACTTGAACTATAGTCTGTGCTTTGTCCAGAACAGACTAAATTCCTAATTTGCATTTGGTACTGTATAGCTTCACGGCACACTACACACAGTCACACTTGCTAATAAGTTCACGGGGTATTAGGAAATTAGTTTATGTGTTCAAGGTGCTAGTTACATAAAACTCCTTGGTAGATATTTGTAGCTGTGGTTAAGAATGTTTTATGGACAGAGAAACTGGGATAGAGTGGGAGAGAATGATTATTTTTCCCTTTTCAAAATTAATTTCATAAATGAGTTAATTTCTTAAATAAAATTACAGCTCCCACACAATCTTACTGGATTACAATGGGTAGCTATGGATACCTGTATTTTCAGATTATGAACATGCTTGGATAAAGAGTTATCCACCTTAAGCTGTAGTTTTTAATATTACAGAATAACTGAGACTTTAAAATGCCAGTGCCTTATTTTTCCTTTCTTACTACCTTTGTGAATGTCATGGTGCAGTACAGTCTTTTCACACTAATTTGAATAATGTTTCATTTGAAAATTTATTTTTTTTAATTGAAAAATCTTTCAAAAACTATGTAAAATAAATACATGTATATGCAAACAGATGTCAAAAGGATAAAGGTGGATATAAATAGCAAACCTCCATTTCCTCTTTCTGTTTCTAATCTAAATTTCAATTTTATATTTAAATTTTAACTTTTGCACAAAATTTTATAGATTATAAATCAGGTAACAAACACATCTATTTCTTTACCTAACAATTTTTAAAAATGGCTTAAAATACATACTTGTTTTACAAGACATTGGACTCTTGGACAATACTCTCTCTCCTTTCTCCTAGTCCCAAGAACCACTGTCATCTCTTGATACTTCCTAGTATTTATCTCCAGGACTGGTTAACACCTTCGGACACATCTGTGTAAAAAACTCCACAACTATCTCAGCAGCAGAAGACAGCTATGAGGGTCAGTCCCTGCCTCTTAAACTCCTTGACCTGGTAGTGACACAAGTCGCTAACATTACAGCCTTAGGAGGGTTGTGACTTCCTGGCTTTGTGGTTTTTAGAAAATAACGTTAGAGGATTTTATCGATAATGGCCCACATGATGGGTCCTCAGTTTCCAGAGCGCCCTAAGCAATGAAAGAATGTTTCAAACTCTACCTAAAATGTATCTTTTGCACCCAGTTGGTGTAAACTTTATGTAATTTTATGTTTTAAGTGTATCTCAGAAGAGGAAATATATATTTTAACATCATTTCACAATTTTCATGATTTCTTTAGGGCATTTATTCTGTGAAGTCAATGTAATTGTTAGTATATTTGAATTTATATATCTACTATCTTACTGTCTACTGTATTTTCTCTTTTTTAACTTGTTCTCATTTTTCTTGTTTAATTTTTCACTTTTCCATTTTTACCCAGTATTTTTGTATTTTGTACACTTCTCACTCTTTACCCTGACATGCCTTTTCCTCTTCTCAGACAATGTGAACTTTTAAAATTCTTTGACATGGTTCACTTCTACTTCATTGATACGCTTTTTTGGTTTTCAATTTTATATGTCTTAACTCCATTTTGCTATCATTATTACTATTGTTTCTAAAGCATAGAGTTAGTCTAGCTGTGCCCCTGTAGTCACTTTTTATTTTATTAAATTCTCTCTTGCCTCCTCCTCCCATCTCTGCGCACTGCCCTGGGCCCAAGAGGCACTGTTTCCCTAACGAGGGTCTGCTGACGGTGGATGTCTCTTTGTTTTTCCTCATTGTGTCTTTATTCACATTAACTGGAGCTACACTGAGGACACTCAATCTGTGTAGGCAGCTTTTCTCGCCGACCATAGGTGTTTGCTTGTCTTATACCAAATCCTATGAACTTTGATGTCATCATGCAGATCTTCTAATTTTGTTTTCTTTTTGTCCTGTTTGTGTTCTACCTTCTACTTCATCTTCTTAGAGATGTCCTTGATACTTTCCCTTTGCAAACTCATTTGTTTTCTTCTCTTCCATTGCTACATACTTCTGCCCTTGGCATTCTGGGTTTACAGTACCTCTCAGATAAATTTCTTATACTTAGATCATTTCAAGGACTGATCTTAGCAGACTAAGGCTAATAGCAAGATCCAGTCATATATTTTGCTTATTTGGTAGGTGTTGATATGATCTCTTATGGTGAGATGGGCTATAAGAGTGGGGATTTAGCTCTCTGTATTTGAACCCCAGTTCTGTCCTTATTTATTTAAGTAAACAAAGGCCCCTTATTCTTCACTTTTTTGGGGATCAGTGTAAATCTTAGAATTTCTAAATTGAAAATATCATAGAAAAAATTCTAGTCCCAAACTCTTCTTTAATCTATGGGGAGACCAAGGTACTTAGCCATGTGATTTATGGTAGATCATATGGTATTTGGTGTCTTGATAGAGGAAGAGACTATGATCTTTTCTACCACAGTACAAGCAAAGTTTTCTAGGTACATCTTCCTATGTGACGGGCTCAGAGTCTCACACAAAAAACCTTTACAGTCTGGTCCTATTCAGTGCAAATTAGTCATTGTGATGCTAAGAAGAGCTTGGGATTTGATTCAGTCTTTACTTCAGAGCCTGACTTAGCCGCCGATAAGAATGATATCTTCATCTTCCAATCTGTTCCACTGGTCCTCAGGTCTATTTCTTTGCCTGTGCCATGCTGTGTTTATCACAGTAGCTTTGTAGTATAGTTTCAAGTTGAGGATTGTGATACCCCCTACCTTATTTTTACTGCCTAGAATTGCTTTTGCTATTCTAGGTCTCCTCTGATGCCAAATGAATTTTTGGATTGTTTTCAGATTTTGG